TACCACTGAGCCACCCTCCCAGCCCCTCCCTTAGCATTTTTGCTCAAAGCGAATAGTCTCCCACTTGAGCTATACCTTCAATTCCGACTTTTTGCTAGTTAACAGGAGATAAGAATCTCATAGACTTTCCTGCCCACACTGGATTTGAACTGTGATCCTCATATCTCAGCCTCCTGATTAGCTAGGATGGAATACAGGTGTGAGCCACCAGTGTTCAGCACTTCTTAGCTTTTTACTGCTCCCTGTTGTTTGTTGCCAAGGGCTGGGCACTGGTAGATAAAGCCCAGAGAAATAAACCTTCAAGCCAAGTAGCCTAGAGGCGTCAGACTCTGGCTTCCAAAGCCTGGAACAGTAAGTCGTAACGCTCAGGTGGTAAAACCTCTGGGTCTGCCAGCCCAGTCTGCCCCTAGGCTTTGGACACTCAGTGTCTGTGTCTCCCAGCACTAGAGCACATCTCCTTGCCTAGCCACTATTCCTCTCCGAGTAAAACAAAAGGCTCCCAACCAGCTGACTGGTAACATATGGGGAAGAGATGCTGTGACGGTCTTATTTCTCTGGTTTCAGAAACAATCTTGAATTGCCCTTGATCTGCCTTCTCCATCCTTCAATAGCTGATCTGGGCCAGGTTGGATCCCAGGATTTAACTGAGCAGGGAACAGCTGTGAGTTTCCCAGTGCTTGGAGTAAAGAGGGAAACAAGATTGGTACTCTAGCCTAGCTAGGGTTTCAAAGAAGGGCCTCCTGCTAGGCAGGTGCTTTGCCACTTAAGCTATAATCCCAGCCCACAAGATTTTTTTTGGGGGGGAGGTACTGGTCCTGGGGCTTGAACTCAGGGCCTGTGTGCTTTCCCTCAGCTTTTTTGCTCAAGGCTAGGGCTCTGCCACTTACGTCACTGCTCCATTCTGCCTTTTTTTTTTTTTTTTTTTTGCACCAAAGCCTAGTTATAACTTTCTTCCTCTTCCTCCTCCTCCTCCTCTTCCTCCTCTTCTTCTTCTTCCTCCCTCCCTCCCTCCCTCCTTCCCTTCTTCTCTCTCTCTCCCCTCTCTCCCTCTACTTCTCCCTTTCTCCCTCCCTCTCCTCTCTACTTTCAGCTTTTTATTGGTTAACTGGAGTCTCACAGGGCTGGCACCAGTGGCTTACACCTCTAATCCTAGCTACTCAGGAGGTTTAGATATGAGGATCATAGTTCAAAGCCAGTCCTGTCAGAAAAGTCCTCATGAGGCTGAGAAGTTGGCTCAGTGGTAGAGCGCTTGCCTTGCATGCCTGAGGCCCTGGGTTCGATTCCTCAGCACCACATAAGCAAAAAGAAAAAACCCAGAAGTGGAGCTGTGAGTCAAGTGGTAGAGCGCTAGCCTTGAGCTGAAGAGCTGAAGGACAGTGCCCAGGCCCAGAGTTCAGGCCCCACGACCGGACCAAAAAAAAAAAAAAAAGAAAAGTCCTCATGAGACTTTTAACCACTCAAAAAAATAGTACAAGTTGTCATGTCCAAAACGAGCTTTACAACGTTGGTGGGGGGGGGGGGGGGGGAGAAGGATTGGGATTAGGGGGGGAGGGGGGAGGCTGGGAAGGGATGTGAAGGGTAAACAAAGGAGGAGGCTGCAATGCTTGGTAAGAAATGTACGCATTATCCTGCCCATGTAACTGTAACTCCTCTGTACAGTATGTTCACAAATAAAATTAAATTAAATTAAAAAAAAAGAAAAACAAAAAAACAAAAAAAAAAAACACAAAAAAATCAGAAGTGACTGTGGCTCAAATGGTAGAGAGCTTGCCTTGAGCACAAGGAGGCTCAGGGATATCACTCGGGCCCTGAGTTCGAGCCCCACAACAACAACAATAACAAAAGAATCTCACAGATTTTCCTGCTTTGAATCTTGATCCTTATATCTCAGCCTCGTGAGTAGCTAAGATTATAGGCCTGAGCCACTGGTGCCACTGTCTTTGACCCTCATTGTGCTCAAGGCTAGCACTCTCACCACTTGAGTCACAGCACCACTTCCAGACTTTTCTCCCCCTCCCTCTCCCCCTCCCTCTCCCCCTCCCCCTTCTCCTCCCCCTCCTCCTCCCCCTCCTCCTCCCCCTTCTCCTCTGGGCCTGGACCCTGTCCCTCAGTTCCTCAACTCAAGGCTAGAGCTCTACCACTTCCGGTTTTGAGTGGTTTATCAGAGATAAGAATCCCCTAGACTTTCCTGCCAGTGCTGGCTTTGAATTGTGATCCTCAGATCTCAGCCTCCTGAGTAGCTATGATCACAGGCCTGAACCACCAGCACTCTGGGCTTCAGCCTTTTCTTTTTATTGGAGATAAAAGTCTCAGGTACTTTTCTGCCTGGGCTGGCTTTGAATTGTGATCCTCAGATCTCAGTCTCCTGAGTAGCTAGGATTATAGACATGAGCCACAGGCACATGGCTTAAGACTAATTTTTAACACTATCAATCTTTTTATTGCTTCAGTTTGTGAACATTAGCCCACCCTCTTCCAATCGCTCTATCAAATCTCATAGACACAAAACCAAGGAAAACACTAAGGATCTCTGTCATTGAAAAGATTACAAAGATTACAAGATTACAAAAGTTATTGTCCAACAGAATGTAATTGTTAGCGAAATGAGTCCCTTCCCACAGCTTAGTCCATTCTTTCCCTTCTCCACAGCTTAGCATTTCCCCTTCCTAGGCAACACCAGGCCCATATAGTAAAGGCAGTAAATAATCAACTTCCAGCTCCCTTTACCTTGGGATAGCACTTCTCTGGGGCAGCTGCCACCATATAAGGCAACAAGAGCCCCTTAGAGTGACCTTTAGGTCTGGGCAGTTGCAGGACCCTGATCTACTATGGACAGCAGCCATAAATCCTAGTCCGCCATGATGAAGCCCCTGGCCCACTTGTCCACACCAGGGTCTCTGCCTCCTAGCTCCTTCTAGCCCCTCCTAAACCCCCTAGGTTATATAGGTCACCCCAGACAATAGCCCATGCGTCTTCTCATTCCTCCCTTGTGAGAAGGAGTCTTGCCAGCCCCCTTTCCCAGCAATAAACCTTTCTTTGTTTTCTGTATCTGGATGTCTGCGTGGTTCTTTGCAAAGTCTAATTAATCATATTTAAGCTTTCAATAACAGAAGACTCAAATGTTACCACACATATCATTCTAAATTTTCAAGTAGCCATGTGAACAAAAAACATGAAAAAGGTGAACATGATTTTAACAACCTATTTTAATCAGTATATCTAAAGATACTGTTTCTTTCTTTTTTTTTTTTTTTATATATTTTTTTGGGTCCAGTCGTGGGGCCTGAACTCTGGGCCTGGGCGCTGTCCCTCAGCCCTTCAGCTCAAGGCTAGCGCTCTACCACTTGAGCCACAGTGCCACTTCCGGATTTTTTCTTTTTGCTTATGTGGTGCTGAGGAATCGAACCCAGGGCTTCAGGCATGCAAGGCAAGCACTCTACCACTGAGCCACTTTCCCAGCCCTAAAGATACTGTTTCAATATATGCTCAGTATAAAATTTTATATTTGTTATACTTAAAAATCTAGGGTGTATTTTATTCTTACAGCTCTTTACCACTCAGACTAGTCACATCTCATCTACTCAGCAGCCACATGTGGCCAGAGGTGACAGTAATGGCCCTATGGATTTCTCTTCTGGTTAAGAAACACTAAGACTTCTGCAAAAAAAAGTTAAGGGACTTGGTATTCAGCCAAAGACATCCACACTGTTGTGATCACAAATCTGTATATTTGTGACTCTCTGTATTTTATTTTTCTTGTTTTAATTTACCAAGTCATATATGAATATAGTTATATATTTATTTAATGTCAGACCTGGGGCTTGAACTCAGGGCCTGGGGCCTGGGCACTTGTCCCTGAGCTTTCTCAAACAAGGATAATGCTCTACTGCTTGAGCCACAGCTCTACTTCCGGCTTTTTGATGGTTAATTGGCGATAGAGCCTAATGGGCTTTCCTGCCTGGGCTGGCTTCAAACCTCGGTCGTCAGATCTTAGCCTCCTGAGTAGCTAGAATACAAACCTGAGCCATCCGCACCCGGTTTAGAGGCTTTCTTTACGTAAAACTACATTTCCCAGTTCAAGCCCCACGACCGACAACAAAAAAAAAAACAAAAAAAAACTACATTTCCCATGAGCACTGGTGGGCGTCAGCGTCGCACAGTTTTGTCGTCACGCCGCGCTCCTTATACCCACTTCCGCCCGCGAGTTACCTCCTTTCCTTTCTGCAGCGCGCGGCAGCAAGATGGCGGTGCAAATTTCCAAGAAGAGGAAGGTGAGCAACCGGGCCTGTTCCCGGCAACCGCAGCGCCTCGTGGGGCCAGGGTCTTCTCAGGGTGTCGTCGGAAGATCTGCGGGCCCGTGTCCTACCCTAAGAAGCGGCTACAGCCGTTTGGCGTTCCCGGTGGGCGTGGATGGCGGCGGATTGAGTGCGAGGCCCGCGCCGACGGGCGAGATGTGGCAGGAAGGGAGAGACGGGTTTCTCCGGTTCCGGTGGAGATGAGCTCCGCTCTCCTTGCCTGTTCCGGAGAAGCGGCCGGTGAGCTGGTTTTAGCCGACAAAATAAGCATACGCGTGGCGTTTTGAGCGCGTGAGCCCTGAGAGTTTGTGGCATGAAGTCTCAGCACCGACCCTGGAGAGGCCTTGGGAGGAAGGCCGCGGGGACCGTGCAGGGACCTGAGGTTCCTTCAGACTTTTAACGTGTCAGCCCAAGTTAGAGAAGTAGGTAAATAGCATTAGCTTTATGTCTGTTACTTCACATAGATGTTGAAGTTTAAAACCACAGTGCTGTTAGGATTGATCAACTCAGTCCCCAAGTAGTGTAAGGTCAGATGAAGTTGCCGGGGTTCTCGGGGTTGTTCTGTCTGCAGTTTGAAGTCTTAACTGCTGTAAAAGTCTTTTGAGAGCTACAAGTAGCGGTGGCTCTTGCTATGCTGAGTAAACGGAACCCACCATTTTCAGGCAGCTTTTTGCTTGGCATGTGTAAATAACAAGTTCTTCAACCCTTCAATGAAGAGGTGATGACGAGTCTGACTTGGGAGTATTACCTTTGGCCAGGCAGCCCCACTCTGTGCTGCGTTCTGTGGCATAGCTTAAAGGGACCTGGTGGAAGAAACTTCCTAAAGATGACTTAGAGGCATTTGTCTGAGAAGGGTTGCTTCACTTTCTATGGGAACAAGAGTATTGGATTTGGATGAAGGGTGCAATCCCCTGTTGAGGGGAAAGTAAGCCTTTGTCCATATCATAATATTGGAATTTGCTTTTCTGGCTAGTTTGTTGCTGATGGCATCTTCAAAGCTGAACTGAATGAATTTCTTACTCGTGAGCTGGCTGAAGATGGCTACTCTGGAGTTGAGGTCCGAGTTACACCCACCAGGACGGAAATCATTATCTTAGCTACCAGGTAAAAACTTAAAAACTGGTTGGACTTCATCTTGGCTTTTGTTGTTTAAAATTGTGTGTGTTTCCAGGCAGATGAATGAGGTTTTGTAAGTTACGAATGTCTTCCCATCCCCTCCCCCCTCCAGGACACAGAATGTTCTTGGTGAGAAGGGTCGTCGCATTCGGGAATTGACTGCAGTAGTTCAGAAGAGATTTGGCTTCCCTGAGGGCAGTGTAGAGGTGAGTGGTCCTGGTTTATCTCGATTATCATGCATTTGGAAACAGCTCTTTATTTTTATTTTTTACAGTGTTGGGGTTTGAATTCAGCACCTTGTGGTTGCTAGGCATGTGCTCTACCTCAGCCCTTTTATTTGCTTTATTCTTCAGATGGGGGTCTCAATCTTCCCCTCCCTTTAATATTTTACCTGCATCTCTATAGATATATAAGTATAGAAGGGATCCCAGGGCAAGAACACCATGCCTGCTTGTTGAGATGTGGTCATGCTAAATTTGCTTCTGCTGCCTTTGGACCAGAATCTTCCTGATTTAGGCTTTGAAGCTAGACTGAACTACATAGCAAGACCTTGTCTCAAAAACAAAAAATAAGCGGCTGGGAATGTGGCTTAGTGGTAGAGACCTTGCCTAGCATGCATGAAGCCCTGGGTTCAATTCCTCAGTACCGCATAAACAGAAAAGGCCGGAAATGGCACTGTGGCTCAAGTGATAGAGCGCTAGCCTTGAGCAAAAAGAAGCTTAGGGACAGTGCCCAGGCCCTGAGTTCAAGCCCCAGGACTGGAAAAAAAATAAGCAGTGTGCTTAATCTGGTGGGTTTCCTATTTCACTTGGGTTTATAAATGATATATAGAATAGATTGGCAATCCTCCTAGTCTCTCCCTAGTGTGGTAGTGGGAAGGCAACCGCCTTGTGGGTATAGAAAAAGTGTTTGAGGGACATGGTGATACATAGAGAACCTTGTATGGTGACAGTGCTGGATTTTGCTGGAAAACTGGTGAAGGTAACTGGATGTGCCTTGTCTCTTTAAAGCTATATGCCGAAAAAGTGGCCACAAGAGGACTGTGTGCCATTGCACAGGCAGAGTCTCTGCGGTACAAACTCCTTGGAGGGCTTGCTGTGCGGAGGTAAGTATCTTGAGATGACTTGGTCATGCTCTTGTGTGAATCAGAGTATGGCATATCTGCCATTTTTGTCAACAAATGAGTTATAAGATCATCTACTTTTTGCCACTTAGGTCAATAAGGTAGTGCTAATCCATGTTCCTACTGAACTGGTAGGCTAAATGACATTATAGCTAGTAACCTATAAGAGGTGGTCAGTGCTACAGTTTGGGAGGAGGAGTTTTGTGTGCTTTGGGAGTAGACTAGAAATGGAACTGTGCAGGATGACCTTTTTAATCTTTTTAGGTTTTAGGAAGGACCTTTTAGCAGATAGGCAATAGGAGTAATTCAGCCCCGTTACTAAGCTGTTACTTAAGTACTTGTGGGATGCCACAAATTCAAAACAAGCTAGAAAGTCATTTAGAGTCATTAATTGTTCACTCCGGTGGGGATGATAAAGTCACTGCATGGTCTGATGAGGGAGAGCTTGAGATCTATACACTAAAACCTTCAAGTTGTTATACATAGTATTGTGAATAGAGAAAAAGAACATGAAAGGGTTGGGGTTCCCCTGGAGCTAATCCTACTGGTAAGATTTCAGTAAAGCAGAATATGAATAGGAAAATGGAGGTGTGTCCCAGCCATCTGTTGTAAGCCCTCTCTAGGTTTTGCACATTTATACTGGGAAGTCCTGGTTCCTAATCATAATTATTGACACTTGAGTCTCTTCTCTTTAAGTGGTAAATAGGAATTATACTACCTTTCAGTGAGGATGAGAATTTAGAAGTGTCTGGGGTGGTTAGCTATCAAATTATCTCAGAAAACTAAATGAGTTGGGGGTGAGAGCATGATACTTTAAAAGCTTATTGGAGATCTATAAGGTCTTTTTTCCTATCTAGCACTTTAATATCAAGGTAAATTCTAAAGGGTGCACTAAGTGGCTGGGGCCGATGGGGTTTTAAGTATTTTTCTCAATTTTGAACATGAGAACCATTTGGGGAGCACTTCTAAAATACCCATGCCTCAGTTTTGGCTGGCCAGATTGCTAGAGAAGGACCTAGTCTTTTGGTTTGCTGAGGCGCAGTTGGCAAGTACCTGTTTTTGGAGGGAAATAGCCAAGGATTAGGTAGCGCCATACAAGAGAATTGCTATTTTCTGGTCAGGTTTGTTTTCCACTAAAGTAACTATTACAACAGTGAAGTTCCAGTTCTGCATTTTAAAATTGGTGGGAGGGGTAGGTGAATTCTCTTTCTCTTTGGCAGTGTGGATTTCTTGTTCTTCAAAGGGCCTGCTATGGTGTGCTGCGGTTCATCATGGAGAGTGGAGCCAAGGGCTGCGAGGTTGTAGTCTCTGGGAAACTCCGAGGACAGAGGGCTAAGTCTATGAAGTTTGTAGATGGCCTGATGATCCACAGTGGGGACCCTGTTAACTACTATGTTGACACTGCTGTGCGTCATGTGCTGCTCAGACAGGGTAAGCAGTTGGGGATGTTGTGGCAAAAGGCATTAGCAGATTGCTTTTTGTAGACACCTCTGGAAAACTTCACCTTAGAAGTAGCTAGGCACAAGTGTATACCTTGGGGCTGGGAAGGTGGCTCAGTGGTAGAGCGCTTGCTTTGCATGCATGAGGCCCTGGGTTCGATTCCTCAGCACCACATAAGCAAAAAGAAAAAAGCTGGAAGTAGTGCTGTGGCTCAAGTGGTAGAGCGCTAGCCTTGAGCTGAAGAGCTGAGGGACAGCGCCCAGGCCCAGAGTTCAGGCCCCCACGACCAGACCTCCCCCCCCCCCCCCCAAAAAAAAAAAGTGTATACCTTGGATTTGTGGCTTAGCTAAAATTGTATTACTGAGACAAATTGATAGTTGGTTTGTCATTAAGCATCTGTACCCTTCAGTGATGACACGATGACGAGTCAGAAAGGTCACATCCTGCTTCTGGTCCTTGTCAGTGCCATGTTCTGTGGTGCTGTGCATGGGTTCCTTTGGCAAAAGTGTCCTGTTCATTGATTGATTTAGAGGCATTTGTCTGAGAAGGGCCACTCAATCCAGCAATACTTGGGTAAAATGTTGTGTCCTGTCCTCTTAGGTGCTGGGTGCCAGGAAACGCAACTAGGCCCTAATTCTTTTATGTCCTGTAGGTGTGCTGGGCATCAAAGTGAAGATCATGCTGCCCTGGGACCCAAGTGGTAAGATTGGGCCTAAGAAGCCCCTGCCTGACCACGTGAGCATTGTGGAACCTAAAGATGAGATCCTGCCAACTACCCCCATCTCAGAACAGAAGGGTGGGAAGCCAGAGCCACCTGCCATGCCACAGCCAGTCCCTACAGCATAACAGGTATGTCTTCAGGCCAAACAGGAACCGATTCCTTTTTTTCTGTACTGGTATCTCACACTGGTCATACACACTTGGGAATTAAAATTGGATCCCCATGCTTTATGTGGGAGAGTACAAATAGGAATCTGGAGCCTTTCAACCTCCCACAACTGTTGGGATGGGGATGGATAGTTGCCTTTGTTTTTTTTTTTTTTTTTTTAAGAAGGTCCTAGTGAGGGGCTTAGTGATACAGGCCTGTAATCTTAGCATTTGGGAAGGGAGGTAGAGGTGTTTTAGGACTGGGTTCAAGGCCAATGTGGGCCTTGTGTGTAGCAAAATTATCCCCCCAAAAAGGTGGTTCTGCTTTTACTGCCATGCTTGACACTTTTCCCTTACTGCCTTATTTGGTAGAGATTTTTAAGGTACTCTTTCTACCAATTTGCTATTCTACCCTTTCAGGGCTCTCTTAAATAGTAACACCAAGTCCCCTTCTTTGTGCCCTAGCCACATAAGAATTTTGTCTCCCAGTGCTTCTTTTATCTTAATGCTGATCCATATCTTAATGAAAATCCAAAGTGAGAGTGTGTACTCCATACCTGGTAAATGAAGGATTCTGATGCTGAGGTTATTTTCTTACTGTTGTGTTTTATTTGGTTTCAGGGTCTCCTTGGCAGCTGTATCTGGAGCCTGGATGTTGCCCTAGAGACATGTAATAAAATCATGTACAAAGACATAAGGCCTTACTAGACTTATCTGTCCAGTAGTTGGTGATTTTGGCCTACAGCCTTGCGTATCCTCTTAGTTTAAGCCAAGACTTGTTTGGTATTTGTCAAGGGCAGAACTGGAGGACCCAAGCAGAGCTGACCAGAGAAATACACTGTAAGACATCAAAGGCTAGTGGCTACAGGTCAGCATCATGGCTAATTGTGCCTTAGGATCACAGGTTTAGAAGAGGGATTAACCTAGGTCTCTTGCACTATATCACTGAGTTATATCTACAGCCTAGAGGAAAATACATTTTAATATTTTCCTGGTGCATAAGGAAGTAGTTTCTATTTGGTCATACTGTCCTAGGTGTAGGTATTCTTTAATAATCTGTCCTGAGTATTTGCTCTCAGTATCTATTTTGTAATAAATTGGATGCTTTACTTTATTCAGGTGATAATAGTGAAGGACAAGTTGGCTTGAAAACTATATGACTGATGTTGAAATAAAGTTCCCCTTAATGCTGTCATGGGCTTGGGATGTGGCTTGGCTAGTTATTTTAAAAAGAAAAAAAAACACTAGCTGCACAGATGCTCAATCTAGTAAGTGATTTATCTTCTCAACTACACTGAATTACACCAGGCCAAACTTTACTACACATGTGCTTATTAATATTTTGAGTGAGTAATGCTGAAACACACTGACAAAAAGTATTTGTGTTTTCCTATCAACAACCTACCTTTAAAAAACAGCCTGTAAGTTTTTAGAAGTAGTATATCTGGTTAAAGCTGCAGAACTCAAGGATGAGGACTGGCTACTACTGAGTTCTCTAACCGCCAATATCACTAATACAGTAGACCCATTTAGTAGGATTCAGGGTGAGTTGGAGCTCCTAAACATAAATACAAAAGCTACCTTTCCCCCCCCTTTAACAGTACTTCCAATCAGTGGTGATGCCTCAGAAGTGAGCTGTCAAACTGATTCCTTACGGGAATTCTATTCCTGTAATACTGTTGGTGTTTATTATGTGTGCCATTAAACCTAGTACTCTACCATTAAGCCACATGTCCAGCCCAAGTGTTTATTTTGGAACTTGTGGTTCGTTTAAGACATGACTTTGTAGTGCTATAACATTAAAATTTTAAAAACTTTCACATTTACTGAGTACTAGAAATAGAGCAATGTAATTCTGGCACAGCCCATTAGAGGCCTTTGTATTAAGTGGTCTTCCCTCTGGTAAGTTGTGAAAGTGTTCAACACCACCAGGAGGTACTCTAGCAAAAAGGATTGCTGCACAGTAGCAATTTGAAGAGGAAAAAATGTTAAATGTAAAAACCACAATTGTCAGTGTATTATATAGTCTCTCTCCAATGGGTAAGGCAGCCAAAACCATACTGTGAAGTCCCAGAACTAGCAGGTGAAAATAAGGCTTTTGACATGAGACGTGTTGACATTTTTCATGTACCCCGTCCTTCCCCCAAGGACAGGCTCAACTAACAAGCTTAAGGCAGGGATGCACCAAGTGAGATCTTTGGAAAGATGGCCAGTAAGGATCGTGGACCAAAATAGAACTGATAAACCAGGAAAAATACAAAAAAAAAAAAAAATGGGTGAGGACAGTGTTCAGGGCTGGGGATGGTGGGGGCTACCTCAATCTGGCATGTCATGACCACCAGTTTGTCAGCCTGTCCTCAATTACTAGTGCTGGTTAATTTTGAAAATGTTGGCCACCATAAAGGGAGCACTTTATTCTGTCAGAGCACTTTATCAAAGAGACTACCTGAGTTATGCTGTCACCAGCACTGCTTCACTGATACTGGACCTGTAACTCCAAGTATAAGACTTTCTAGAGACTGGAGTGTTCTAAAATCCATTGGCTTTTGGATATAATAGCATGATGCACCCTCCCTGCCCTCACTGTAAAGTTCTGGCCATAGGGGTTACACTTTCTACTGGGAGATGGGGCAGGTGTCATTCCCATTTTAGAGTCAAAACTTCAGCCTTAGAGATTTTTTTCCTAATCAAAACTATGTCCCTGGCTCGTGCCTTTAAGACAGCCTGGACAGGAAAGTAAGTTTGAAGTTGAGCTGTGGCTCAAGTAGAGTGTTAGCAAAAAAGTTCAGTCAGTGCCCAACCCCTAGACCAACACAAGACAATACTAACAGCATGACCAATATAAGGAGGTAACAATTCTAAACCCTGAACTGGGAACAAATACTTCATTCCAACAACTGGAATGTGGACAGATTCCATTATTAACCTTATTTGACAGCCGGTTCAACCTTGAATATATCTTGGGGAACTATGATTTCTCTTGGATCTTGAGCAATGTTTATAGTAGTCCATGATCTGATTTTTTTTGGGTTGGGGGGAGCCCAGGTCTTGGGACTTGAACCTGGGGCTTGGGCACTGTACCTGAACTTTTTTTTTTTTTTTTTTGTCGGTCGTGGGGCTTGAACTCTGGGCCTGGGCGCTGTCCTTCAGCTCTTCAGCTCAAGGCGAGCACTCTACCACAGACCACTTCCGGTTTTCTGGTGGTTTATTGGAAATAGGAGTCTTAACAGTCTTTCCTGCCAGGGCTGGCTTTGAACCGTGATCCTCAGATCTCAGCCTCCTGAGTAGCTAGGATTACAGGCTTGAGCCACCAGCGCCAGGCGTTCCTGAACTTTTTTGTGTTCCAGGCTAACACTGACCACTTGAGCCACAGCACCACTTCTGGGTTTTTCAGAGTAGTTTATTGGAGATAAAGAGTCTCACAGGACAGGAAATGTGGCTTAGTGGTAGAGTGTTTGCCTAGCATGCACGGAGCCCTGGCTTTGATTTCCTCAGTACCACATAAACAGAAAAGGCTGGGAGTGTCAGTGGTTCAAGTAGTAGAGTGCTAGCCTTGAGCACAGAGAAGCTCGGAGACAGCCTAGGCCCTAGTTCAAGCCCCAGGACTGGCAAAAGTCTCAGACTACTTGCCCAATCTGATTTCAAACTTTGGTCTTCAGATCTTAGCCTCCTGAGTAGCTAGGGTTACAGGAATGAGCACTGGCACCCAGGAGTTCTGATTTTTAGGAGCAAGAAACCTGAGAGCCTTGGCTTAAGCCTTGTCTGAGCCAACGTCCTCATTTTTACAAGTGAAACAATGAATAAGCCCAGTAGCTCTGAAATTCAAAGTTGCTTCTTGCTGTAGAGGGCTAGCAGTTCAGCCTGGCAGGTGCATTCCTGAACAAAAAGCACTGATGGATTCATCCTACCCTCACTTGTGGGTCATCCACTGACCCTATTCACAGCCCTCTGCTGAGCTAGAGGAGCTAGATCCTTTGAATTCCTCAGCTCCCTTGGCCTGTAAGATGTTTTTGTTTTGTTTTGTTTTTTAACTGTTTTGGCTTTTGTTTTGTTTTTGTTGGTCATGTGGCTTGAGCTCTGGGCTTGGGCACTGTCTCAGCTCTAGCTCAAGGCTAGCGCTCTATCACTTGAGCCACAGCACCACTTCTGGTTTTCTGGTGATTAATTGGAGATAAGAGTCTCACAGACTTCCCTGCCTGGGCTGGCTTTAAACCATGATCCTCAGATCTCAGCCTCCTAAGTAGCAGGATTACAAGCATGAGCCACAGGCGCCCAGGTTTTTTTTTGTTTTGTTTTTAAAGAGCAGTATAAAAGAATAATAAAACATCAAGTCTTGTGACACAAGACCTACTTAAAAAACCTCCAGGTCGCGGTGCGGTGGTGGCTCATGCCTGGCATTCAAGCTCCAGTACCACAAGAAATCAAAACCTCAAATACTAGCTTTTTTAGGTTGGTGACTTCTGTGATGTGATAACACATTAAGTTTCTGTTCTCAGATGAGGGTCTGGCAAACATGCATTCCTAAGAGGTCATATAGGAGAAATGGTAAGGGGCCCCTTTACCTAGAGGGCAGCCTATAAGGTACATTGACTAGGGACTAAAAGCCAGGGAGGCCATATATAACATGGTCTCCATTAAAAGTTATGGGCTGTTTCCCTTTGCTTGGTGCTTCTGTGGATGTCCTCACATTTAAACTAAGTCTGCCTTCCAGTTGAAGACTCCCTAGAGGCAAGGACAGTATCCATTCAGGTAAGACTTCCATGTGAAAATGATATCTCCTGCACAACTGCTGTGCCCAACACAGTGTTGTCAGATTAACAATTTATGAGGCAGGATGGAAAATAGACTTTCGAGATGGCCAGAAATAGGTTCAAATCCTGGCTCTGTCATTGCTCACCATCCACTGACCAGCTCATGATGGTGGAGACAGGCAACAGAAGTACAGGCAATAGAAAGAACATTGGGGACATGAAGGTCACTGCCTGGCACATGAAGTACGCAGTCCTGGGCTTGCCCTGGATGTGTGCCTTGTTCCTGGGTAGGCTAGAAACATGGTGCCTTAGTTTTGTCCTTAGTGATTCTGTGGGATAGGGTCAGGCAGGATCAGTGGGGCTGGGACTCCAACCCCCACCCAGCTGCCATTATCAGCTGTGTCCAGATGGTCTCAGGCTCCTTAATCTGAGGTAATTTGTGAGCTGAACTCAGCTGGTACTTTGTGGCTGTGATGGGCCAGTCCTAGCTAGAGAGATCCTGCAGTCAAAGCCCTGGGGCTTTGAAGATGGGGAGGGTGTGGGCCAACCTTTGCTAGAGAGTTCTGGGAGCAGATGACACTCCAAAAGGCAAATGATGCCTTTAGTACAAATGATGGGCCTGCAGATGGGCCTGGCACTGCCTCCAGCTTTTGAGCCACAGGCACAGACAGCTTAGCTCAGAATCTCTGGTGTGCTTTGTTCCCTCTGAGCTACCTCCTTGTCCAGCAATTTTTATCACTGTCACTGGAGCCCCAGGCCACACCAAGCTTTATAATGGCAGCAGTGCCTTACATTGATAGGGATCTGGCAAGTCCGGGTACACAGCTTGGCCCGTGGCTCTGCTGTCCTCCACCTTGCATAAAATAGTTTTTAATGTCCATGGCTTTGCATAAAATAATTGTTATGGTCCATGCTGCCCTTTTGAAAGTAAATAAGGTGGTAGGTATGGGTTGAATATTGGTTTCCCTCCAAAAAAAGAATTTTTTGTTGTTTTTGTTGGTCATGGGCGTGAACTCTGGGCCTGGGCCCTGTACCTCAACTCTTCAGCTCATGGCTAGTGCCACTTGAGCCACAGCACTACTTCTGGCTTTTTCTGCCAGAATCAAACCCAGGGCCTCATGCATGCAAGGCAAGCACTCTACCACTGAGCCACCTTCCCAGCCCTCCTTCCAAAATTCTTATGTCTGAACTTAATACTCAGTTTGATAAGTGTTAAGCGGTGGGGCCTTCATTGAGTGTTAAGTCACTTGGCATTAGTGCCATTATGAGGTAGAATCTCTTATTCAAACTGCCTCATACCCCTCCAGAAGGAAGAAGTTGTAGAGCTATGAAGAAAAGTCCATACAGTACACTGGATCTATTGGTGCCTTGATCTTGAGTTCCTTGCCTCCACAAATGAAAAATAAACTCCTAGTGTTTATGTTTTAAATGACTCAGTCTTAAGGGGTAGTAAGTAGCCCAAATGGAGTAAGATGTTGGGAACGGATGCTGGGGATAACCTCTCAAGCAAAGTGGAGTTGAGCTGAAACACAGATCCAACCTTCAAACAAAGTTTTATTTATAAGAAAAAGGGACAATAAATTAAAGAACTATTTACATGGAGGTGCCAGGAGGGGAGCAGTGCTGTGCCTGAGTTCTGCCTCTACCTCCAACTCAGGCTGTTCATCTGAGTCACCTGTCCAGGCTCTGGATGATGGTGACACATCCATGGGAGCTGGTGCAGCGCTGCAGGGGTGGCTGGGCCTCCACCTGCCCACTACTGGGGTCAAAGGTGAAGACCCTGTCAGTGCTTTCCCCACGATCATCTCTCCCACCAAGGATGTGGACCTTCCCATCGCACACTGTCACTCCACAGCTCTCCTATGTGGACACACAGAATGACAATTATCTATGAGGTCCAATCTTTGGTCCCCTCAGTTCCTAGCTGGCCAGACCAGTTAACAGTACAGACTATGAACAGGTAGCGTGGATGGATGGCAGGGAGACAGAAAGTAGGTGGGCCTGAGTTAAAGCTCTGTCACTTGACCCTTAGTAAATGAATGGCCTAGAAAAGTCATGCAACTGCCCTGGGCCTTAGATTTCCTCATCTGCAGTGTGTGAAGAGTGGCTACCATTACAGGGTTCTCTTCACAGTTAAGCGGTTATATAGAGCATTGAATATAGTACCTTGTCTGGCATCTGATAAGTACACTAGCAATAATAATTATACCCTTAGGATGTCAGACTTAAAAGTCAGAAATCTTGGGATTACTGAAGGCCACACTTCTATAGTCTCTTGAATTTCAGGGAAGAGGGAGCCAAGGAGCTGTAGGAATGAGAACTTCCAGGACCTGGACACCTGTTATCACTGAAGCAAAGAAGCTTATCAAATTGTTTGCTCTTTAGGGTTAGGTAAGGCTTACTGGATCTGCCTCACTTAAGGCTACAGCCCAGGCTCTGCCCTAATATGGCTTAACTGGCAGCCTCTAAGGCTAGTCTGTTCATGTGTGAAATGCAAGGTTGATCACCCGGACAAGCTAGAGAACAATGTAAAACCACTTACCCAGAGTCATGCCTGAGACCCACCACCTCCAAGTTCCAGAGCTTTACAAACGGATTGGTTCTCCAGAATGGACTTGGGTAAGGACCATGCCAGGAGCCTCTCTACTTACCACAGGCCTGGGGAGGACAGCCACCTCCCCCCAGACATCTGTGTCAGGGTCATAGGTGAAGATTTTGCTCATGAGGCCTCCCACTACATAGATGGTGTCCTCAAGGGAGACAGCCTCAAGACACCGCAGTGAGAAGGGCGCCGGTGACCGCAGGCTCCACTGGTCCTCTTTGGGGTCCAGACACTGCACCTGAGGGGCAGAAAAGCAGGGGTGACAAAGCTTCCCCCAGTGACCGTACTACCCACATGCTTCCACCCCTCTCTCGGGATGCTGAGCAGAACACCATCTATGTCCACTGGGCATCTGGGAGGTAGGAGACCTGCTGACCCTGTCCTCTGGTGCTCAGCCTAGTTCTACTTTTTCTCCCCAGCTCCTGCACATCCTTTGTTAAAAGCTGACTCATCTTTCAAATGCCATCAGCTCAAATGCCTCCCCATCTTCAAAGCCTTCCCCACAGAGGAACAGTGTCTCTTTTGATGGAAGAGAACAGTCACCTTAGGGAATTAGTCTTTTGAGCATGTCTCATCAAGTGGGGAGAAGTGTCTCAGGAGACAGGTCCTCTCTGCAGGTCCCTGCAGAGATGTGTGTCTAGCCACATGCCCTAGCAACCTTTCCCTGTGCTCTGGGGTCAGGAGTGATTGTAGCTGAGGTGTCTTGCAACCCCACTCCTTGCTACAATGGTCCATGGCTTCCCAGGCTCATAGTTGTTTATGATTCCCTGACCCTTTAACATTTAACAAAAATTGTTGTAACCATAATGTGCAGAGGGGTTACTATTACATAAGTCAGGTAAAGAGTACATTTCTTTTTGGACAATATCACCCTTTCCCATGCTCTCCTGGCCCCTTTCTGAGGATACATACCTCTATCTGGCTGCCTGTTCACCTTCACCCCAGTTTCTCTGTTGTTTCTGTGGAGACCCACAGAATGGCCTGTAGAAAACCACTGCTGCATGGTGACAGTATAAAATGGGCTGCCTAAAGCTAATGCCCCGGGAAGTTCTGGAAAGTTTGCTAGAACAGTGGTGTCTGAGGATAGGGAGGAATGGAGTGGTTCTAATTTGGGAAGGATTCTGGTCTCAGGACCACAGGACTGTGAGGGTGTCAGGGGTGGAGAAGTTCTGACAAGAAGGTTCATTTTTATTCAGAAAGCTCAAATGCCCAATAGTAAAGCATAGGAATACTACATTTTATCACTCAGTGGATTATTACTGCTGCTCAAATGATGGCTGGAGAATTCTGTGTAGAGTGCTCATACTGAACTGAGACTAGTAAGTAGAAGGCCAAGTTTTACATTAAGAAGAAAACAAAGTCAATTCTGTGGGAGCTGGGAAGCCACCACACCAAAATATTCACAATAGTTATCCCTAGATGGTGGGACAGTAGGTCACTATTTCTTATTTCAATATTATTATTATTATTTGCCAGTCCTGGGGCTTGAATTCAGGGCCTTTGCACTGTCCCTGAGCTTCTATTTTTTGTTCAAGGCTAGCAGTCTTGAGCCACAGCACCACTTCCAGCTTTTTCTGTTTATGTGGTACTGAGGAATCGAACCCAGGGTTTCATGTTCTACCACTAAGCTACCTTTCCAGCCTTCAATACTATTTTTTTTTTTTTTTGAGGAAAACCGTTTTAATCCTACCCCTGCTTCATTTCATTTCTTAAAACCTATAAAACCGCAGTGGTTCACGCCTGTAATAGTAACTACTAGAGGCTGAGGTTCAAAGCCAGCTTGAGCAGGAAAGTCCCAGAGACTCTTATCTCCAATAAGTCACCAAAAAATCAGCTGGGCGTGGGTTTGTGGCTTAAGTGGTAGAGCTCTGGCCTTGAGTACAAAAGGTCAGGGGTAGTGCCCAATACTGGGTTCAAGCCCTAGTACCGACAAACAACCTCTATGAAACCTGTATGGACGTCCGACCCCGAGGAGACCAGGCCTTCTGCTGACCTACAGGACCCTTGAGATCCTTTCTCTGAGATAATGTCCTCGTCTGAAAGCCGGGCCTCGTGGGCTGCTGACCGGCACACTTGGGTCTAGCCTGGCACATGGCCTTCCTGCAGCATCCCACGCCCCCAGCCCCTGCAGCCCCCCAGCCCCTGCAGCCCCCGCCCTGAGCCCACCGTGTTGGTGTTGAGGCCGTCCTGCCCAGCGCCCGCGATCACGTAGAGCCGGCCCGCGCAGGGCGCCACCGCCGCCGAGCTCACGGCCGTGGGCAGGGGGGCGACGGCCACCCACGTGTTGGAGAAGGGGTCGTAGCGCTCCACGCTGCACAAACGCCGCAAGCCGTCAAAGCCGCCCACCGCGAACAGCTGCGAGGATAGGGGTGGAGGGTGCCCAGAGTTACAACCGGAGGGAGCCCCACGGCCCCATCACACACACACACGCACCACCACACACACACACACACACACACATGGCCAAGTCCAGCACACTGGGTCATCCCAGTACTGCGGTCACCTAGGTGCTCCTTTAGTTCCTGAACCTCCTGAGCTGCTTCCTCTCCTCAAACAGGGATTAATGAGGCAGGCTTAGAGCTGCAACGCATGGCACCAAGCTGATAACAGGGAGTCATTTATTAGGGGTTTTACCACCCTACTTAGCCTTAAGGAGCACTTTTATGATTCTAACTTTGGGATGTAGTTTACAAAAGTTAGGCGTATATATAAATATATTACAAATATACATTATGTGCATATACATTATATATGTATATACATATGTATGCATTTTATATAACTTATATGTCTCAGATGGTGGTCAAGGTTCAATCCTATCATTGTTTAGACCCAGAGCCTACAAATACCCACAGACTACTTATTGTTAGCATTCTCATTATTGTGTGATCTTGGGCAAGACTCTCTCTCTTTTTTTTCTGTTTTTTTTTTTTTTGGGGGGGGGGTCCGGTCGTGGGGCCTGAACTCTGGGCCTTGGCGCTGTCCCTCAGCTCTTCAGCTCAAGGCTAGCGCTCTACCACTTGAGCCACAGCGCCACTTCCGGCTTTTTTCTTTTTGCTTATGTGGTGCTGAGGAATCGAACTCAGGGCCTCATGCATGCAAGGCAAGCGCTCTACCACTGAGCCACCTTCCTAGCCCCAAGACTCTCTCTCTTTTCAGGACTTCTTACAAAGAATAATTCTGGGGGTGCTGATGGAGTGATTCTGGGGTAAAGTGCTTGCCTAAAGGGTCCTGGAGGGAGCTTTCCCTCAGGATAGTCATAGATCTGTGCTCTGGGTCCCAGGATAGCAGCTTGCTGCAGGTACCTACCTGCCCCTGCAAGGCTACCATCTTGTGTCTCCACCTGCCCTTGAGCATGGAAGCTACCTTGATCCAGGTATGCAGGTGGGAGCTAAACATCCACACATCGCGGCTGTTGATGTGGCCTCCTAAGGAGAAATAAGTAGCTATTGCTCCAGGTCCTCTCGCTACCCTCCCAATGCCCCCCAAGGAACCAGCATGTCAGATCCAAAGACAAGCATTAAGGATGTGCTGGGGACAAGGCAACACAGAGCCACCTGTACAGGAAGGGCAGAGGTAATCAGTAATCAACCCTTCTTCATCTTTATGCTTTCTAGTCCCTTCCCTCCTTGAGGTGTTAGGATGATTACACCGGCTTAGAGATTGCTGAAGACCACCTGGCCTTTTGTTAGAGGCAAGGATCAAACCCAGAGCTTAACCTCAAGGGTCAAGCCCAGCATTCAGCTGAAGGACACAACATATTGCTTCAGCCAATAACAGCAGGTTATCAGGAAAAGTCTAGCTCCCTGGGTGGACTGCAGTAAAGAAGGAAGTGTGTGAGAGGTGATGAGCCAATCCCATGGGCTTCTGCCATAGTCCCACCCTCACCAGAAACGTAGATGTCATTTCGAAGAGCACAGGTAGCGAACTCTGAGCGAGTGTAGCCAGGCAAGCTGGGCAGCGGGGTCCAGCATTGGCTCTCCGGGTGGTAGGCATCAGCAAAAGGCAGCTTCAGGAGACCCTTTCGGTCACAACCGCCGACGACAACGATCACTTCAGCTAGGTCCATGAATCTGGCATAGGATCAACCAGGGCTTGTTGTCTCCCACCCAAGTTGCCAACCTTTGTCACCCTCTTGCTGACCATGCAATTCAGCTGTTCTGCCCTTCCATACCTTGGCCTCACACTGGACCCTGACACTTCCAACACTCTTTCTGGGTATTGAAGAAAGAAAATCTCTAATTCTCAATCTATACTCACCACTAAGTAACAGAAAAAAAAATAGTTATAAAAGCCTTTACCCTTTCCCTAGGGGGAAAAAAAAAATTAGAACTGTTTAATCTTTAAAATGGATCTATCAGCTAGGAATTAGGAGGGAGAAAAAGACTGGACTATGACTACATTTTTCTGATCTCCATCCTCAACTGCTAATCTCTCTTTTCTCTCTGTGTGTGGTAATGAGGCTAGACAGGTGTTCTACCATTTTAGCCTTGTCCCTGCCTACAAAAAAATCCAATACTGCCTTCCCCTCCCCCCCACTACTAGGGCTTGAACTTGTGTTTGCTAGGCAAGCACTCTATTACATGTCACACTCTAGTTCTCCAGATGGTTACCCACCTCCTCTCTCAAGCTTGAACTCAAGGTCTCTTCCTGGACTTTCTTGCTCTTTGGCACTCTTACCATTTGAGCCATACTTCCAGTCAAACATTTTCCATCTATCTAGGCTCATTTTCAATGTGATCCTCCCAAGTCTCAGCGTCTTGAGTAAAGACTATAGCCACTGCACCCAACTCCTATATACATGTCTTAAAGCCATTTCCTATTCACTGATTCCTTTGGACAGAGCTCCTCAGTAATGCATCGCCTTCCCCCACTGACCCTTCACCAAACCCTTTAGCCAGTGGTTCATGACTTTCTCCACAAATCCTAAACATTGGACCTGGGTTTAGTCAGAGATGGGGTAGAGGAACAGTGTCAACTCTGTTTTCTGTCTCAGGTGAGGGATGGGAAGGTGGTGGGGTTTGGGGTGACCATCAATAGAGGACGGCTTCACCTATACTTTCCCAGGCTGGCGTAGCAGGGGCCCAAGTAGGCCTTTTACCCCCCCCCCCCCCTCCATGCTCATACTAGTTCTATGGGCTCCCTACAAATCTCAGCAGGCTGTGCCCAGTAAGCACTCGGCATTGTAGATGGAAGGCTACAGAATAGAGTGAGTGGAGGTGAGGGGTCCTCTGTCTCCCTTACTGGAACAATTCCACAAGGCAGGTAGGCAGGCCTGTGCCAGCCTAGGAGATGAATAATAAAGTCCAAGTTAATTCGGGGCATGGCTGTGGAAGGAGCTGGCTTTCAGTGACTCGGGGGATGGCGGAGGAAAGAGCTGGAGGCTGACTCTGCAGAGGCGAAGGGGAGGCGGCCCTACCTCCGCGGCCGGGCCCGCAGCGCGCCGGCCTCACGGCCCAGGATGAAGCAGGCGCGGGCCTCGAGCAGCAGCGGCCGGCACTCGCCGCAGGCCCTCAGCAGCTCATCCGCCTCCACCTTCTCCAGGAAGTAGGCGGGCGCCAGCAGCGGCAGGCGCACGTGCTCCAGCAGGCGCCGCAGCTGCCCGCGGCGGGCCGGCGCGTCGTGGCGCACCCAGCGCATGGCCGCCTCGAACACGGCCTCCTCGCGCGCCACACCCAGAGCGGGGTCGGCCAACAGCGTCGCCAGCTCGTCGGGGGTCAGCTCCAGGAAGTCGGCGTGGCGCGCCACCTCGGCGAACGCCTGGCGCAGCACGCGGCCGCAGCGCTCGGCCAGCGGAGCGAGCGAGAAGGCGGCGGCCACCCGGCGCAGCGCCAGGCTGTTGGCGGCGCGCAGGCGGCCCTCGAGGAAGCGCGCGCACGCCTCGCGCAGCCCCGCCACGCCCAGCCGCTCCGCCAGCGCCAGCACCGCGGCCGCCTCGTCCTCGGCGCGCAGCCGCACGCCCGCGCCGTACACGTAGTCCAGTACCACCGCCAGCGCCGCCGCCGCCGTCGGCCCCGAGCTCCGGGACTCAGGCACCACCGACACCACCGCCAGGCCGCGTTCCGGCCGGCCGGCGGCGAACAAACCGCGGAAGTAGGTGCTGCCTGCGCTGAGCGCGGCGCGGTGACACGGGAAGTCGCGGCCCCCGGCGCGCAGCACCACGTCGGTGAGGGTGCCGCTCCGCCGGTATGCGTTGAGGGTCTGCAGGACGCGCTGCGCGTGGCACGCCGCCGCGCACGGAGCCTCGCAGCCCGGCTCCGGGTCCTCGGGCCCGGGGGCCTCTCGCATCCTATCGAGCAGAGAACAAAGATAGCGTTGGGAAATCCCTCTGGCGGGAGCAGGCTTGGCTCAGCGCACATCCCCGTGTATGCTAGGTTGTAGGCGCGCATTCGTTCATCAGCCTTCTGTCCACCCACTGGGAGTCCTGGCTGCACTGATCTAGTCTTGTCTGTCTCCCTCCAACCCCCGTTTTCCCCTCCACCCCCTCTTCTCTCCCCTTTCTCTTTTTTTGTCGGCCGTGGGGCTTGAACTCTGGGCCTAGGCGCCACCCTCAGCTTTTTCACTCAAGGCTAGCACTCTACCAACTTGAGCCACAGCTCTACTGCTGGTTTTCTGGTGATTAATCGGAGATAAGAGTCTCAGGGGAGACTAGGAAGGTGGCTCAGTGGTAGAGTGCTTGCCTTGCAGGCATGAGGTCATAAGGTCCAGAGTTCGATTCCTCAGCACCACATAAGCAGAAAAAGCCAGAAGTGGCGCTGTGGCTCAAGTGGTAGAGCGCTAGCCTTGAGTTGAAGAGCTGAGGGACAACACCCAGCCCCAAAGTTCAGACCCCATGACCAATTAAAAAGAAAAAAAAAGGTCTTGTGGACTTTTCTGTCCGGGCTGGCTTTGAACCACAATCCTCAGATTTTAGCCTCCTGAGTTGGTAGGATTACAGGCGTGAGCCACTGGTGCTCCATCTCGTGTAGACTGATTTCAGTCACAGTGCTCTTTCTGTTCTTCAGACTGCTAAGCTCATTCCCTATCAATCTCTGCTGGAGACAGATGGCAGACCCTTAAATAGGGAAATTTGAGCAGAGTCCAATAAATGAACGATTTGCAAATGTTTAAGCGGTATTTGGGGACTCCACATGGCCACATGGCGACCAACAAACAAAAGGGCGTATTCCTGGTCACAAGGGGATGACAGGAAGGGTCCTGGAACTTGGGACAAAATTGTGTAGGGAGGAGCTGTGGACAAGGTATTCAGGCCTTGAGAATACTCCTCTGGTCTGTGCCACTATCCACTACACCAGTCCTCTATCCTGCCTCCTTCAGATCTGTAGGCTGGTTACCCCTAGGCTGAACCTTGATTGATGCTCTTTAATGTCTGCTCCGCCTCCACAGTACTCACTAACTGTATACAGCTGAGTGTTTTAAACAAATACTTAGTGAAAGCCTTTTCTGTGTCAGGCAGTGAGCAAGACAACTATATGGAGCTTCGCAGAGCTCACAGCTTGGCAGGGGTACTTCTGGGAAATGTAGAGAATTACGGGGGACATTTTAGAAGGGACAGTAAACCCAGGAAAGGTTAATTAAGGAAGAGGATCTTGGAGGAAGACCTCCAAACTGAGAAGGATGGGCAGAATTAGCCAACTAAGGGTGAGGGAGCCCAGGGGAGGATGTGTCCAGCTGCTGGGAAGTAGAAAGCAGCAGCTGTGAGGAGGATTATGAGGTTCTGATCCTCCCCTTCCTTCTTCTGTCTGGGCTCAAAAACACGATCATAATGCCTATAGTTGTAACTGAGGAACTGACTCACTATGAAAAGTGCTAAGTCCTTAGTACTCAATGAAGGTTTCCTTGCCTTGTGTAGACTCGTGCAAAAAGGAGCACACCACATGTGCTTGTTGCTTTTGTGAACATAATTTGAACTGATCTTCCCAACCCTGAGAAATGTCTTTAGTCATACACCACCACCACCCTTTTTTTTTCTTTTTCTTTGCCAGTCCTGGGGCTTGAACTCAAGGCTTGGGCACTGTCCCATAGCTTCTTTTTGCTCAAGGCTAGTAGCCACAGCGCTACTTCTGGCTTTTTCTGTTTACTGAGAAATCAAACCCAAGGCTTCATGCATGCTAGGCAAGTACTGTACATTTCCAGCCCCCATTTCTAGCTTTTTAAAGCTTTGTCATGAGGAAACAAGCACACAGAGGGAACTTGGCCTTCTGAGTTAGCTGTGAGAATGGGAGCGGGACGGATGTCTGTGAACATTGTGTGCTGTTAGGTCTTGGTCCCTATAAGCATGTAACTAATATTTGCATGCTTCCAGGGACAAGAAGCTCTCTCCTTTATGCGGCAGCTCCCTACAGGGGAATTCGGCTCTGCCCTCTGCTCCTTGCCTCTCTCCATTCTCCTGATCTCAGGTCCTATCCAGGATCAGCCTGGCTTTTATGTCTTATGCCTGGGTCATCTTGGGCAATGGATCTCCTCCTGCCTCAGCATCACAAGAAATGAAATGTTTCCAGTGGACACATAAGTTCGCTGCTTTTGCCCAAGTAGAGGGGGGTGGGTCTTGAAGCCGTGTGGCTCTGCCTGCTTAGTCCCTCTAATGCATTCACCAGGACTGGGGGGGTGTTCTTGAGGAGCATGCTGCGTGTACTGTGGACAGCCACAGGAATTGAGACCCCAGAGAGCAGATCTCCTTAGCATCTGGGGGACTTCTCCCAGCTCTTCTTCTTCCACCCTGGAGATTGCCAGGGTGAGGGCTGAAGAGCACCCGGATGATCAGATCATGGAAAGTAGGGGTTGCCAGGCAAGGCTCTATCTATCAATGTCCTCTCATCTCAGCAGAGTCTAGACACTTCATGCCAAGAGTCAGACACAGACCTTTGAGAGACCCAGCCTGTAAACTTGGCTCAACACATCACCCTCCCCATCTCCTCCTCACCTCACATCTACTCACATGTTTAGACTTGTGGCAACACCCAGTCAGCTCAGAATCCTAAACTACCCCCAGGTACCTGGGACTTACCTGGCCACCCCCTCTCCTGGGGACTCTGAAGCTGATGCTCGGGAAGGGATCACTTCTGTCAGTGCCTGCACCCTGTCTTCATTCTGCCTGTGCCGGCCGGCAGCTCAGGCTTTAATGTCCCTGCTGCTCTGCCCAGACTTGGGCTCAGGCTCAGCTGTGGGAGGACAAAGGGGCTGGACGCCAGGGAGAGGGAAGGAGGAAGGGGGAGGGGTGGATGCTGGGCTTTTGTTTCACTCTTGGACCAGCCTTGGAGGCAGGGGATAGGAGGAAGCACAGGATCCACTGTGTATAACTGCAGGGTCTGGTTTGGGGCCCTAATGAAACTGTGTGTGTGTGTGTGTGTGTGTGTGTGTGTGTGTGTGTGTGTGTGTGTGTGTGTGTGTGTGTGTGTGTGTGTGTGTGTGTGTATCTGCCTTGGGTAGATGAGGTAGTTGTCAGTGTGTCGTTGTTCCAGGTACCTATGTGTGAATATGGCAGTGTGTGGAACATAGTGACTGTCTCATTGGGGGTGGCTATGTAGCCACATGTGACCAAGAATGTGACTGTCATAGTTATGGATCAAAGTTCTGGCCTCTGTGTGACTGTGCTGAACCTATGTTCCTGATTTGTAGCAGGCATATCATTGTAGGATTTTGCCTGGCCATTTCTTTGTGTCTGGGTGTCTCTGTGATTGTTATTTTTCTGTGTCAGAGGTTTGTATCTCTGAATTGTATGATGTCCCAGCTATGTATACCCATAGATCAGGTGTCTGTGGACATCTATGTATGTGTATGAGACAAGGGTCTGTCTATGTATGTGTGTGCTTACGGTGTGTGGCCTTGCTTTTTGTGTGTGTGTGTCTGTGTACATGTGTAGGTGGGTGCTGGCCCCTTGGAGGGACACAGCATGGCACTGGGCTGGTTGAACAGGGTGGAGGAGAAAACGAGGCAGATCTGGGACAGATCTGCCTGAACCTAGAAGGGGATTCTAAGTGGGTACTGGCTCACTGCTACCTGGCAAGGAGGGGACTTGCCTTCATGGCAAGGGACAGCAATTTGAAGAGGTTGTCCTGACAAAATCCTGTACGGGCCCCAGGCACCCGGCCTTGGTGACACTGCTGTGAGGTTGTACAACCCTGGCCTGATCACTGTCCAGCTTGACTCTTTCCTGCAGCAGGAGGGGAATGTAGATGTGTTGGATTGCTAAGACACTTGGGAGAGAGTGAGAGAAAGCCACATGCTGCATGGAGATGCCCTTGCTGGGTGTAGTAGGAGAGGAGCCAGTGTGTACCACAGGCCGTAGGCTAAGCTAAGGATGGAGACTGGACCAGCTCTAAGTCCAGCAGATGGCTGCTCTCCTGCATTGCTGGAGTAGAGGGAGGCAGCAAACTGACCTTGGACCTGGAGCAGTTTAGGGTCCTGGTGGTGATAGAATGCAGCTCACTGCCTGCTTAGGACCCTGACCTCTCACCCCTTCTCTCCCATCCATTTTAAAAGACTCTAGGATGTCTCAAGCTGCCCAAGTGTGGCCAAGAGTGTCAGACACCCTGGCTAATGGACCCGGGGGAGCTGACTAGACAGGAAAGGGAAGGTCTGTTTTCTTTCCTCAGTAGGCGCCCAGAGGCTATCTAGAGTTTGTCTGTGACCCCCCCCCCCCAACCTTACTCCTGTCCCAGCAGCTCTGTTTTACTTACTGCCTATGCCAGGGACAGGTGAGAGCTGACTTTGGCTCCAGGAAGAATCTTCCAGGTATTCTGTGGGAAGGGTGAGTCAGGTGAGTTCCCTCAGTCCTGAGGGGCTGTCTTGGAGGTTAATATGGGGGACCCAGTGGCAGTCAGACCTTGGGAAGGGGCTGTTTCCCTTTCCTCAAAGAAGGTCACAATCTCTCAGATTGCAAGAATTTTACCCTGAAGAGTCTGGAGAAGAGACTGGCATTTATTTAAAGCAGCCTGGAGCTGGGTGTTTAGCCACTCCCAAAATACAGCTCAAATCATGCAATCTCAGATGAAGCTGACTTAACACCTGCCCTAATCCACTGCCGACTCCTCCTTGGAGAGAGCAAAAGGCAGAAACCACCAAAGATGGAGAGATAGAAGGGCATACTTTGGCCCAAGGGGTATATTTTCGCTTTTTTGGGGGGGGGGTCCAGTCATGGGGCCTGAACTCTGGGCCTGGGTGCTGTCCCTCAGCTCTTCAGCTCAAGGCTAGCGCTCTACCACTTGAGCCACAGCGCCACTTCCGGCTTTTTTCTTTTTCTTATATGGTACTGAGGAATCGAACCCAGGGCCTCAGGCATGCAAGGCA